CCACTTTGACCCACACCACCTCCTTGTAGTGGGGCTTCTTCCCGGCCCGGCAGTCATTGCAGAACCAGCTGCCCTCGGGCATGTCAATGTTCAGACACTCGCGGTGGAAGGCAGCAGGACACGACTCGCAGCAGAGGAGACTGCCCCCTGCAGGGAGGGAGGGAGAGAGAGGAAGCTCTGCTTAGGAATCATAGGCACCTCCTGCCAACTTTCCGGCTTTTCCATCAGGAACCACAAAGAGCCAAGTGCAGGAGGCGCAAAGTCTGCACGTCCACCAAAAAACAGCCGGCAAACTGCAGGCTCTTCCCTTCACGTGCTCCACGGCCTACGAGCTGTAAGGTGAAGACACCGGGCTTGGGTGGCGAAACCCAGTAACACACGAGGAGGAACACTTCAGCACAAGAAAAAACGAAAGGCACAGTAAAATATTAGAGAGGATATCCTTGCTTACTGGTGCTACAGACGATTCTCTCCGAATTGTGGGAGTGTTTCTTTCTACACAACATAAGGCTCCACAAAAGACCTATGAGGTGAGATCCCAAACCAATCACATCCACGGCGGCCGGATCTTTCCGAGACACTTTCCTGCCCGTGTGATGAAGACCTATTCTATCCCGTGTTCTGGGTGCCGAAGCAGAACCTGCAGGGGGGGGGGGGGCTGACCTTCGGAGCAGACGAAGCACCAGCTGACGTTGACGTGCTCGTGGTTGCGGCAGCCCTTGCGAGGGGCGAAGTGGTTGGGGCACAGGAAGCTGTTGTTGGCCAGGATGACGCTGCCGGCGGCCATGCAGAAGTCGTTGGCGTGGTAGGCCACCGGGCAGCGCACGCAGCGGGTCAGCCGGCCTGCAGCCAGGAAGGAGGACACGGGAAGAGAGTCTTACTCGCACGTCACACTCCAGGATACCGCCCTAATTTATTCATACACAACGCCCGTGTAGAACGCTTCATAGGGAAACCACATACAACAACTACACATTGCTTTCTGCTGAGCTCACATTAAATACACAAGTATCACATCGTGTATCCTACAAACACTCTGCTGCCGCCTTTCACTCTAGCGAGAAGGTAGTCCCTGCTCAGAGCTGACGAGCTCCCTGGGGCGATTTTCGCTCATTCGCTCATCGACCCTTCAGACAAATCCGGCACACACCCCTGAGACCACAGGGAGGCCCTTTCTGGGGACAACGAATCGCTTCCTGACCTCGGGCAGCCTGACGAGCCCCTGATCTTCCACTGCAGAAACCCCCCACCCCCGATCGGCCCCTGGGGCGCCACCCACCTTTGGAGACGGAGGGGTTGGCGGGGTTGGCGATGAAGCAGGACAGGCAGACGTGCAGGGAGCAGCGGAAGCCGCGGCTCTGGGGCGCGGTGGGCGTGTGCCGGGCGACGCACTCGCCGTGGTAGAACTTGCCGCAGACGGGGATCAGGCAGCGCTTCACGTCGGGGCCCGGCTTCTTGCAGACGAAGCAGGTGTGGATCCCTGCAAGGGGACGGCAGCGCGTTACGCGACGGGCCCCGCCTGCACGGGCGGCGGCCATCACGACGACGGGGCGGGGGGCGGACTGACCGGTGGTGCACTCGTTGCAGATGAACCTGCCCTGGGGCGTCTCGGCCAGGCCGATGCACTGCAGGTGGAACGCCCCACAACACTGGCCCTCGCACAGCAGCAGCTCCCCGGTCTTCTCGCACACCTGCGGAGGCAGACGCACAGCCCTGACCTTCCTGTCTCGCACCTCCCCACGGCCCCCTCGGCGCCCCCAGAAGGGTCCCCCCACCCCCGTTTCCCCGTGACCAACCCCTCTCCAACCCGGGGAGGTGGGGGTCTCGAACTCCCGAGAGCTCGGGGAGCCAGTCGCGGTTCTCTGGTTCCGGGTGCGAGCGACAGCTTCGAAGAGCAGCACGGCGTCGGCCACGGGGACGAGGTGGACGGAGAAGTCCTCTCACCTGGCAGACGTTCTCCTTCAACGAGGCAGCGCCGCCCTTCTCCCCGGTCAGCTTCCTGCTGGCGGACAGCCCCGCCTCGCCCTGCCCGGCCTCCTCCCTCCCCGCCGGCTGCCCGTCCTCCAGGCCGGACATGGAGCTCTGAGGACACAGGGAGGAAGACCCCGCAGGTCAGCCAGCTCCCAGAGCTGGGCCGGCGGGGGCGCTCGCACTGCTCCTGCCATACGCAGCGATCGCTGCACTCTCTCTCTCTCGCTCTCAAAAACTCCGCCATCAGTACCGAACAATGAATCCCTTGCCAACGCCGAGGCAGAGCATCAGTACAGCAAAGCACTGGGGCGCCTGAGAACAATATGTTGAATGCGCCGTGTAGGAGCTGGGGGACAGCCTCCCTCAGCTGTATGACATCAGACAGGGACATGATGTGGTTTGTGCAAAGGTATGTAAATATGGGAGAACAGTCACAGGTGGTTGCATGGGAAAGCGATGGCAACAGCAGTCCTTAGCAGGGAGCAGAGTCAGGTGTGCTGCAGTTACACCACCTGCAAGCCTTAACCTGGAAACTTCGTGCCTTTCAGTGGCATGTCACATCTTTGCCATTGACGTTTCCTGTTCTACAAGTCACAGCATAAAGCATTTCCATTCACCTTCCCTTTGTTTAAGAAGCTCATAAATGTATAAAATAGCCCTATCCGATGCCGAGAGGTTCCCAAAATGTAAATCCCAGATGGGGACTGAAGTACCTTTACTTACAATTTTTCTTTTGCCGTCATTTAAAAATGAACCAATGAACGGGATTTTAAAAGAGATGAGGGGAGCACCAGCGAATCGGAGAAGAGGGGAAAGAGAGAAAAAGGAGGATCCCGATCACAAAGCATTAACTGGACACCTCGTGCCAGACCACCGTGGAAAATAAGGACACAGGCGTTGCGAAACGAAAAGGGAAAAACATCTTGGCGGCGTGCCGAGGGCTCAGTGGAAAAGAGGGATTCTGGACTCACCTGCGTCGCCTCGCAGTCCGTGAGCAGCTCGGGGTCCACAGAGGCGTCGGGGGTCTCCTCCAGCCCCTCTCCCGACTCGGGGGTCCGGGCGTCAGGGCTGGCCTTGTGCGCCGGAGGAGAAGATGCCTTCTGGGGCCTGCTCCTCGGCCTGTCGGGGCTCTGCGCGGGCGCTGCGGACGGGCAGGACAGCTCACGTCACCGACCAGCTCGGCACGCCCCACCCCCCGACTCCCCTGGCGTGATCCCCGGCCTCCTCGCAAGAAACCGAGAGGCGCGCTGTGCACCGCCACTCGGACAACCCTGGCCAGCGTCTCTTCGCGGCCGAGCTCTGCAGCCCAGGACGCCGCAGTCCACACGCCCTCGCGGCCAGCGCCGTGCATGCCGGGAGGGGCCCGAAAGAGAAAGGCACCTGGACTCACCTGCCGGAGCACCATGGTAGGACGGACTGGGCTCAGGCACTTTCTTCTTCACAGTCTTCACCTACGAAACAGGAGCTTTAACGTTGGCAGGGCAAAGGAGCTCACTTACTAATGTGCACCTCAAGCCCCAGGGAAAAGTCCGCTTGCAACAGCACAGAGACAGAGGCATTCCGGTCGCTTCTGCACAGCGGAGAGACCTTCCACCCTGGGGTCTGGCTCTCTCCCGGAGAGCTGTGTACAGGTATTTAACCTCCCACCCTCACCTCTTCCAGTACTTCCTGAGAGTCCTGTCCCTCCGCCTCCTCCTCAGCCACACTACCTTGTTCTCTACACTCCTGACCACCAACGGGACAGTAGAAGAGGGGGAAAAACAAAAACAAAAAGAAAATAAAACACCCACAATCAGTCAGCAGAATGCTTGCATTTTCTTTGAGCGCTCGGCCTCAGGAGGACAGCGGCCTGAGGCCTGCCCTTATTTCGGCGTCTGGGCTCATTCATGCACCTCAACGCAAGGGCGACTTTCAAAGCCTTTTGCTCCAAAATCAAAATTTGCTCCATTACTTCGTGAACGAAACTACGAACATTTCGAGGTGCACATCTCACGCGTGAGCTCAGGGAAAACAGAAACACTGAGTGCACATGGTTTCGTTCGGTTAACCCCAGCTGGTCGAAACGCTGAAACAACTGAAGCACCTCAGTCTCTAATTCTGCTCCATCTCTAATTATAGAAAGGGCTGAGATATACGAGCGGACAAACCTACAATATATACACCTGTGTTGACGCCAACACTGTTCTGCATTGCTGTGAGGAGGAAAGACAGCAATAGAGCAAGACCTTGCACTGTAGCCAAAAGCTTTGAGAAGCAAAAATAAAAACACGAAAGACATGTGCCCAACACTCTTTACTCTTGAAAAGGAAAAGAACAAGAGACACCACAGAGGCCTGTCTTTCGGTAGCACAAACCAGGGAGGTGTGCAGGCTGCCAGTCTGATCACACCGAGACCATTCTCTAAGGCCTCGCCACTCACAGGTGAGCGTTCACAAGCCCCCAGGGTGCACCTGCAGGTCATCCCCGTGTCACTCTGGACCGACATCGGATTCGCATTCGGAACGGGGCGGTGCGTCACTCTGTACCGCGCGATATCCGTTTCTAACCAACTCCCGGAGAAACGACATTTCTACAGATGCGGTGTTCCTGGGCTTACGCGGTCTTGATGTGCGCGGTTTGGGTTTGTCACGCCTGAAGAATATGTACCCCATCAGCTCTCGCGTTCACCCGGGAGAACAGTGCTGCTTGGGTGGCCTCAGGCCCAGGGTTCCCCCAGCCCCCAACCGTCACACTTAATAAACGCCTCTGGAAAAGGTCCAGGATACTGGCTTTCCAATGAGCAACAATGCACTGTTTGGGCAGAGCCAGCATGTT